CGGAGGGTCAAAAATATAATCAGAGCTGTCAGAATTGTCGGAGACGCTCCTATTTTTCTTTTTTGGGCAAACAGGAGGATTTTGTAACATAAAATTATCAGGTGTAGCTGGTGGACTTTCTGGCGAGAACGATCGATTGGTTGAGATTGTATCAGTTGAACCATCGGGAGTGGCTATATTGATTGGAGATGCACTACTTCTAGCAGACGCAGCCGCCGGTGATCTCGGTAACTCAGGTGTATATATATTGGATGTGTCATATTGAATGTGTATTTGTCCAATTTCAAAATGTGAGCAATTTTTATCTTCCGGGCAATCTAAGCAGCTCTTGCGTGTATTATAAATGGGTCCCTTCGACTCCATGTAAGCTGGTGTATTTTGAATGTGCCTTTAAAAGGCTTCGTTGTGCTCTTTTCTAAGATTTTCTGGATTTTGGGCACATCAGAATCATCTATTCCAAAAATTTCTATTCCTTTGCAATTTGCCTGCAAGCACGTCATAAGACCATCGTAATTAGAAACATCCTTACCTATTGCAACAGAGTTATCACACAATCTTTTCACGCATCCACCCACTCCATCGGGAGCACCTTTCCCTTGACCTTTTTCACTAAAATGCCAAATCACAGCCTCTACGTCTAATTCTTTACTTACATAATTTGCAATCAAATAAAACATCGACTTGTTTCGATACTGTGTTGAAGGGCCATCACTAAGTACATGCAATTTTATAATATCCGGGCTAATCTGCTTTATTCTCTGCATAACAGGTTTTAGGTGCGCACATATTAATATAGGGTCATGTCTCAAATTTTCCGATACTGTACATAATGATGTCGTCTTCAAATGTCTATCAGGTGGCTGAGAATTGTTACTATAGTATACGCACGTATGAAGTGATAACTGAATCTTAGAGCCGCCAAAGTAGGCAGATTGAATTTCAGCACTGTACTTGCAGTTATAGTTTTCGGAAAAATCTATATGCAACAAACCTTCTGAAGGAGACAGTTTTTCTTTAAGAGCATGGATTGACCTGACTTGATGAACAAAATTACCCACATGTTTCATGTATACCGGTAAGTTTATATGTAACAAGTGTACAAGAGATGTAACAGTAGTTTTCACGTTTTCTTTAACGGAACTTTTGCATACCTTTTCCATTCCCTTGACAATTATTTTATTATTTTTAGTAACCCATCTCTCATAAGTAATGTAGCCATCTTTAATTAAGGTATTTAATTTAATTTCTTCATTTTGACAGGTCGTACATGTTCGTTCTAAACATTTTAAATTCAATGAGTTCTGACAACAAATTGATTTTGCTAAATCAGAGGCAGATCCAAAAGATATTACTTTTGCTTTCTGTAATGCTCGAACTATGTGATCACTATTTTCATGCAGAATACATAAACAAGTATTTCTTGATGATGCTTTCGGAAAAAGCACCCAAAAAGGGCGATATCTTCTAAAAGTTTGGTAAGAAATATGAAGCCCAGTTTTATTTTTGAACACTGTGTGCAAGTTAAGTAGTGTGTCGTTTAGTAAACGTATTTGTTTTTTTATTTTCTTGCGGGTTATCGTTTCGTTTTTACCCGAAGTCAGGCGACTATATTCATCTTGCAATATAAAATCATGCACAGCTTGTTTGATATCTTGTTTTTGAGCTCTAGTTTCACTTCTTACCGAATTTGTTCCATTTGCCACTTGTTTTCTTTGTTTCGCTTTCAGTCTTTTTATACGCATTCTGTATTTTTTTAACTTTTGATTCATCTGTAAAACCTTAGCCTTTAAATTTAAGTTCTCTCTTTTCATTGCCCTTTTATTTCTATCTGCTGTAGCTTTGCCAGCATTTACTCGTGAAAATGACGAAGTAGTACTTGGTACAGGACTTGAAGGAGGAGTATTCTGTTCAATTAAATCAGCGGTTCTTTTTCTCATTTTCAAGAGATCTCGTCCATTTCAGCTTCATCCATTTTTGCACGTGCCCTCCGCATGCTTAACTTCTTTTGTTCACGACGCCTTTTCTTTTTTTCATCGTCGCTAAGTTGGGATGTTGACCTACTTGCTCTTGGCATTACCTGTTGTAATTAAAGTGTACGTATTATATTAAATCACCAAATGCGTGAATGAAATAAAAATATGCAGTTCATATAGTGCAGTACTAATCAAAACATTTAAATCCTCAAGTGTCACTTCCGTGGACGTTGTCTTTTCCGTGGACATCATGTCCACATGATAGTTGTCCACGGAAGGGTCGTCTATCAAAACAATAAATTGCGACATGCAGATTTTTGAGATTAGGAAGACGAGCAAGGTAATTTTTACAATCGTTCCTCAAATAGCATAAGGCCTTATGACACAATGATTTATAAGTATCGTACTTACCAAAATATTGTTGTAACAGAAAAGTAGCAACGATCTTTTACAAAAATCAAAACTAAATACTTTATTTATAGAACAAACACAGATTTTCGTTGCAACTTATTCAACCTGTTGTCAAACTGTCGGTTCAGAATCTGAACCGACAGCTACAAATGTTGCTAGTGGAAATTAATAAATTCGCGTAGTAGATTTTTTTGGTGATCCTTAACGGTACGTTTTTTGTAGTCCACGGAAGGAGTTGCAAGATTTGTCACAATCTGTTTATTATTAATAACTTGCGATATGTATATTTTTATTTATTGAGATTCTTAGGATAATAAAGAGGAGAATATCTACAATTATCTAGACAATATTGAAAAACATTGTTGTACTATTCATTAATTTTAAATTACACCTAAACACACGAACATCCACTTGACACGGTCCACGGAAAGGTACGATAAGATTGATTTATGATATTTTACTAACATATTAAATAATTATTTGAATGGGATTTCTACTTTCTTAGTTAATAGAGATGTTGTATTTTATAACTAGAACAAAGTTATGATGTAACTGTTGTTTAAAAAATAATCCATCAAGAGCACACTTTTTTTATGCGTTCTGATTATGACCCTTACACCAATCGGATCAATGTAGAAAATGAAGTTTTAAATAATGTATCAGGTCGATGTTGTGGTACCTTAGGTAGATTTCCGCAATGCCACTGATTTTGAAATCTAAGAAACGTATGTTATGTTTTTATTTATTTTATAATAGTGAACAAAACGTCTCGCTGGTACCCGCCGTCATTGTACCCTGCTGCGGAGTGCCATGATGGATTCTTATGCGGTAGCGGGCAGTGTATAGAGTGGCGAAATGTGTGCGATCAACTACCTCACTGCTTCGATAATTCTGACGAGAATGGACTATGCAGTAAGTATTAGTGACCAATAGTACAAGAGCTCGGTTGCGCCTTGATCAGCGTGTTCGGTCTACAAGCAAGGGCTGGTTCAGAAAAATAAATATTTTTTGAGCTATGCCATGCGTGCGCAATGCACTCTAAGTTTTAGTCTTAGCTTCAAATCTCTGCAACTGCAGTCGTGAACGTCTACAATTCTGCAGTACTCGCCTGTGGATTGGTGGGATTATGGCTGCTTCTGCCTTTGACTTGAATTGCTTCGGGATAGCTTATGTATGCTTCAGTAGTACAGATATTATGTAGATAGATGATAAGAAGATATGCCTACCTCAATACCGGCTCCTTAACGTCCTCACTGCAGGGACTCGGGCCTTCGTTGCTTAACCACAACGATCACAGACCGTGGCGCTTATCCACTACGCCATCGAGCTAACTAAGTAAGCTTAGTTTTAAAAGACCCAGTAGTCTTACCAAGACTACCGGTAAGACTACCGAATATTTGGGAAATAAACAAGTCCCTGGTTATAGTTTAAAAATGCTCAGCTACAGAAAACAAAGTGTAAAACAAGTTTCTGACAACACTGAAAAATGGGTGAACTATAAATTTTAAACGTGCATTTAGAAACTGCGTGCCAAAACCACAGTTGCACGTACGCCTGTCAGCCAACACCGCAAGGCGCTCACTGCCTCTGCCCGAAAGGCCTTAGAACTACCGCCGACCATCGCTCCTGTGAAGATATAAACGAGTGTGCTCATCGAAGCGTATGTTCGCAACGTTGTCACAACATACCAGGCTCATTTAGATGCTCTTGCTATCATGGATATTCACTAAGGTAAAGTTATGCCTCATCGTATCTAATATACATCAGATTACTTCACATATTTCTTAACCGTCCTCAAGTCCTTCTGACATACCCTGGGACTTTCCCAACCTACCCTAGAATCCTTCTGGCTCATTCTTGATACTTATGATCTATTTTGTAATCCTCTTACTTTCTTCTATAATATTTTTGACCCATCCTATCGAATTTTTAAGAACCGTGTCACATATATAACCTTCATATTACTTCTAAATACCATCTAAAATGTGATGTGATGAATGTGACATCTTATCTCATTTTTCCAACGCTATGCCACAATTTACGAAGGTCATTCCTATGCTCCTGCTATTACCACAATCATCATAGCTGAGGTACAACATGTGCCACATAGTAACTGAGAAATCCTTTTGGTGCATCTCTCTTAAAAAGGTCAATTAACTCTGAAACTGAAAAAATAATATTAAATTTTATCGTAAACGATTTTGATTTTGCATTTACTCCATCGTGCTTTTATAAAAACAATCTTTCCATGATAACGATGATACATTTTTCTTCATCGAAGCTTGGCTTTTATTTGTGAAATTTTATTAATATTATTAAATCAAAATTATTAATAAAATAATCATCCAAAATTATTTTACTAAGTCAGTGCTCAATATGAAAGTTCTTCTCGGATCCAGGCCTCCCCTAGTGAGTGTATTTCGCAGCGAGTTTTATTATACATATAGGCCAGCCACGCTTTGACCGTATCCTTCGGGTCACGCCCAAGTGGTTGCACAATTCTGCATTTCCCCTGCCTTAACCGAAAAAAGGCAAGCGAGCTGTTACAGTTAACGCCAAAATTTCTTCCGATTTCACAGGCCTGATCATCGTACGTGCAAAGCTAATGCAGGCGAGATGTCGGTTTTATACGCATCTGAGAATACAGTGCACTCCATCACGAAAGACGGACTCACCGCGGACGTGTACAGTGACCCTAAAATGGCCAAAATCACTGACGTTTCAGTTGACACCAGGTTTGTGGTAACCTCAATGGTAACTAATTATTTAACAATATAAAAACTAAAATCAAAAACATCATTTAAGCAGAGTTTATTTGGTGTTAACTGCTTAAATTACGTATTTGTATATGATCTATTTTATGAAGTGCAAAATTACAAGTATTTGCTTTCATACAAAAAACAACTTCAATTTAATTTACTGTTTGAATAATAATAACTCTAGTATCTAACTGTAGATCTTCATACAGCACGCAAGCGTAGTGTTGGCCTTTCGTTTACAAAACATAGACCTATGCACAGAAATATTTTTACATAGCCCTATATCACGACAGGTAAAAAGTCTTTATAATAAACTTTCCGTTAAAAGCTTCTCACTTATGATGTTAACTTGTAGTTCAGTCATTTACCGGATTCATCTCCGTTTTCTGTAAAACTACATCGATTGATTTGAAATTTTAACAGTTGCTTTAAAATAATACAAATAACAACCTGACGTAGTGCCAATATGCGCTTTTATCCTAGGGGTGAATGCCATCCCTTCTCGGGGATGAAATTTTAAATAGCAATCGAAAAATAAACTTATATCAAACACAAAATAAAGAAATGTTTTTCCGCTAACCTTAGTTAGTTTTCGAGTTATTCGCGATTGAAAATGTCATAAAGCACGTTTTAACATAATTTTCATGAATTATAATAAAAAACTTGACGTTTTATGGAAAACATATTATTATAAAATTTTTGTTTATACAGCGTGTGCAGTGGAACTTTAGGAAGTCATTATGTATCTGATAAAGTAGCAAAGATGTCGAGATATTGGTAGAGTTTGAAACTGAAAAAAAAGACGTGAATAGTTGCTTGTGGTTTAAAACGAAATATTTTCTTTAAGAAGCTTCTTATGATAGCTTTATTTTATAAAAATTACGTTTAAGGAGTTTGATGGGTACACAAATTTTATAAAATACATTGGTTGCCTCTATTGTTCTCACACCAAAAAATAAAAAAATATATATTTTGCGATCGGACTGTCATTGTTACCTTCTATAATAGTCCTGCAAGAATGCGTCTATTAACTTACAATTATTTGTATTTTACCAGAGAAAACAAACTATATGTTAGTTTCAAGGAAGCAGGCAAACTGATCGAAGTGAACTCTACCAAGAATGATATCGTAATTACCAACGTTGGGGAACCAGGAAAGGTATGTTTTAATTAGGTATCTACTTCATCTTCGATAATTGATATGAACAAACGTGTGTTAACAAATGGTGTGTATAGGACCATATTACAATATATCTTACCTGTCACAAAATGCATCCAAACTACCCTATAATCCTCCTGCTTTACCCTATAATCCTATTGCTTTACCCTAGAATCTCCCTGGCCTACCCTAGAATTCTTCTAACGCACCCTCCAATCTTACTGCACTTAGCTTTAACCATGACGAAATCGAGAAAGTTCTGTCAACACTAAACGTCACTTTACTCGGGTGCATCGTCAGATATCTTATGGGCGCACCCGACAAAAAAAGTCATTTGGGTATAGACAAAACCCTTTCGAGTATATCATGCAACGCGTTCTGGCCGGGCTTCTAATAGATATATAAGACACCCTAGATTTTTTATAATACACTTTATCCAAACACAATTAACCATTAGTTTATGTCGTGTGAATATATGTATTACATTTTATTTCGAGACTTAATGGGCTATCAAAATATTTTGAAGATGAGAATAAAAAAAATAAAACACACCTGCCAAAGTCGATATAAAAATAAAAGAACAATTTTAATTCTACTAAATAAATTCTCATTCTTATTACTCAGAACCGTTAATATAACGATGTGAAAACACTGAATTTACAATTATTGCATTTTACAAAATCTTTCGCCAAAATTCACCCCTTTTCGTTAGCAATTATTTAATTATTTTTCATTAGCAATATTTTAAAATACATATGTTATATGTTACAAAAATTTTATAGATGCTTTCAACGTGAAATAAAAGTAGCTTTCAGGGCCGAAAAGCCCCTCACAGACCGTCATCCTTTATCATCTCAAGCACCGTATTTCAGAAGGCACGTAATCCTTTGGTCCCGACTGCAGTTTTTAGTACCCACCAATATCCACTGATGGGCCTTAATGAAAACAATCCATTCTCGTTGTTCCATCCATACGCAACGCTAGCAATAGGGTCGGGTATTCTCCAGCAGCAGGGACATTCATAGGTTGTATAAGTACTTTTTTTTTAATTATAGGTGGCAGTAGACTGGATCACTGGTAACGTGTACTTTGTAGACGCAACAGTGGGCGAGAGCTATATTCGAGTTTGTAACGTGTTGAAGAAGAGATGCGCTAGACTACAAAAACTACCGTTTAATTGCAGGGTATATTCAACTTTAATTATATTAATTATCTTTGTTATTTGTAAAACGACGCTTGCAATAAATTCATTTGCAATTGAAAAGGCAATAGCGAACGAATATGGAGTGAGAAGTAATGGGCGATTAGTCACTGTCTAATATGTTATATTTATACTCTCTCTTTCTCTGAGACAGCTCAGAGGTGGATCCTAAGATTGGAAAGTTTTGTTAAATAAGTGAGAATCCAATCAACTTAGGGAACTAATGATCTATCATGCATGAGTCAGAGCATAATTGAGAGGTTAGGGCGCATTATCAAGTTTCTGTCCCAGCTGTAAAAATCATAAATCCAGGATTGGAACAATCAAAGGTGTGAGCCGCTCTGCTATATATTATGACTACCCTGATCTTAGGTGGCGGCCCTGGTGGTAGACCCGGCGGCGAAGCGTATGTTCTACTGCGAAACTCGGTCTGGTAGATCGGTGGTTTGGTCTGCATCACTCTCGGGCCAGTATACGATGGACTTAGCCGCCCCAGGCGATTGTACGGGACTAGCTGCAGATTCGTTCTCAAAACGACTATATGTCGCCGAGAAAAAACCTCCAAGGATTATCAGTATGGACTATAATGGCGAAGATCAGTGAGTATTATATGTTAGACTAGTAAAATAGGTAAAATAGTCCCTCTGTCTTAGTCACTAAAGTTAGGTAAATCTAGTACATAATTATAGTTTTGACCAATTTTGCATGCAAAAAAAAACAAAAAGGCAAATGAATAAAGCCTGACTAAGCTTGAGAACTTGATTTAATAAATGGTAAATAAAAAACCCTTTTGTTCGGGTTTGGCGAGTAGTTTAACTTCATTATATTTCACTTTACTTTCAAACTCGTGAGCATAACGGAAACGGGTAATAATAAATAGATTTTAAACTTTTACTACAAAATGCAATTGATTAAAATTAAGTATGTATAATGTTTCTAACTCGAGAAATTTTCACGAAGTCACATTCATAAAAAGGATATTGGATTACTCAAAATTTCAAAAATTTCAAATATTACGATAGTGAATAATAAAAAGAAATTATATTGAAGTTCAATGATAAAAAGTTTGCATGCGGAAATCTAGGACGAAATAAACGGTGATGCGACCCAAGTTAATTTTTAAGCATTTTACAAATTAGAGAACCTACATCACCTTGTAATTTATTTGTATATCAAAATTGTTCTTAGTGAGTATATTATTTGAAATTCCTAACTAATCTTTAATAGTTATATGAACTATTAATGATTACGAAAATATACGAACAATATTAATGATTAGAATTATGTTTTTACGTGATTGCTTATAAACTGCTCGACTACAGCAAGATATAGCAACAAAGTATTCCCAGCATTCATTGTACAGATTTTCATAGCATCATAACTGTTACAGAAAACTGATAGTATACAATCACACGGACTTCCAGAACCTCCATAGTTTGGCCTTGTTCGAGGACTATATATATTTCATGAACTCCGATTCTCTTAACTTGAACCGATGCTCCCTCTTCGGCAAGAAATATTGCAAGGCATTCATCCACGGAACTGTAGAGGCTACCACATTTGTGTTGAGGTAATATTTTTGAGTCTTGTTGAAGTAATAATATTTTATTAAGAAATCGTTGGCGTAGAGGATAGCCGCCGCGGCCCGCAATCTTTGTTTTTAAGCAACTTTCACAAGGGTCGGTCACGGGATGGGTGACCAAAAATTATTATTATCTCGAACTACTTCGTGCTTCGGAAGGCACGTTAAGCCGTTGGTCCCAGCTGCATTTGCAGTCGTTAATACCCTCCAATTCCGCATTGGACCAGCGTGGAGGGTCATGGTCCCTCATATATACCATCCATAAGGAAGGCCGGAGCCCCTGTAGTGGGGACGTAAAAGGCCTGGTGATGATGATAATGATAAGATTAAATCGACCTAAAAATGGTGTAATTACTTAAATTGATAGAAAAATATTAGATTCGTATTTTATTTATTGTTATTAATAAACAAGGTTTAGCGTTAGACTAAATTTACGCTGAGACTGCACTTAGTACTAGTCAAATTTCATATTATTAAACAGAGACTTGGCAAAGTTTAACCTAGTACGAGGTTCTACGAGAGTGAGTAATATATACTCCTAGAAGGTACTGCTTATTCTCTGGATAATATGAATTTGGACTGATACTAAAATTGCAATTTTAGCGTAAATATACCCTGACACTAAACCTAGTTATTAGTAGCACTGATAGAGTTTTGTGATGGTGATCAGTGTATTTATAACAAAATTATTAAGTAGTTTGTTGATAAAAAAATACTCTGACCGGTGGTGCCAACGAACTTTTTAACCATGATTCTAGCCATAGGATATATCATCTTACCGACGTAATGGCGACGTCGATGGTAATGACGAACCAACAATGAAAGAATAATGATTATGGATTCCATAGCTTCGTCATTTATCCCAAATTTATCCATCAAACGTCCATCAGTCAGATAATGCAAATAAAGATATTATTATTATAATGTAAAATTATAACATACGTATACTTTTTGCTCCGATTTAAACAAGTAATGGTTTTGATAATTAAGTTCAGGAGTAGGGGCGCGATACGTCAGAGTATTGTAGAAAATATACAAAATTCTGACGTCATGCAACATTTCAACTCAATGTATCGCCGTAATCACGGTTGTAGTATGAGAGACTCCTTAAATATTTATTTTATTCCATTGTTGTTGAAGCGGCAACAGAAATACATCATCTGTGAAAATTTGAAAGTTGATCTTTTTTTTAATTAATGATGCTGCCGAAAGCTACTATTGTACGCTATGGGCAAAACCAGTCATAAATAAATACGAACTGAGTGATCGGCGATTGTATGGACGCGCGCACGAACATGCCCAAACTTCCTTTGATGATTGTCCTAAAAACCGACACAGTGGCTATCATGCATGATCATCACCGATCATGGGCCATTATAGACGATAATGCCGTCTACACAATGGTGATGGTGTCAGGCTACATCCACACATGGCATGATAATGATAGTTTGCGTGTGTATGTCGTCAGGCACGAGAGCGTCCAGCGAGACGACGTGCAGGACCAGTGCCGTGATTACGAGTGCGTGAATGTTTGCGTGATGGATAAGCACGGACCGATCTGTCTCTGCGACGACGGGCAGCCCGCCAACAACGGACAGTGCCCACTGCTAGAGAAGGGACAGGTATCATTATTTATTTTGTCTCTAACCAGCCCTGCGATTCATTTATTTTATATCTTAAACGAGCCCTGCAATTTTGTGAAAGTCAAGACCCACATTCGAATTCAATGAATGAATGAATGATAATTTTATTTGCACCAATCACAATAAAATAGGCATAGACACATTGGAATAATTTAAAAACAAAAAACCAAACAATCAATTAAAACACACACAAGGCAAAATGCAAAAAGGGCAAAAGCTAGGCAATATGCTTGGAAAGCAAACTGACAATTTTCAGCTTTAATTAATTTTTTTGAAGTGTGCTATTTACATAAATAGTTTTTTTTTAGGATTCAATAAATATAACATTTTAGTTAAATAAGCATGCTTATTTAAAAAAAACCAAGCTATATTACGCTGAAGAACTTCTGGTAACTGAGCTCGACTCAAAAGTCTGTGCTCGAAAGCATGTACGAAGTGTACCATCGTGTTTCCAGCTCCCACTGTTTAACGGGTGGACATACGAACAGTACCGTCGCGCTCACAACGTGATGGCCAGCATGGTCTCCATCATAGTCGTGCTGCTCCTACTCTACCTCGGCGTCTTCATCTACTACCAGTACAAGCGCGGCCGCTGTACCCGCCCCATCAACTACATGGAGTGAGTTTTATTACCGACACATAAATATCACATTACCACGCTCCTATTATAATAGTAAATATAAATATAGCTAGAAATATAATAGCTGCCTATAACATTTTGTGAAACTAGTAGACTAAACTAGTAGTAGTAGTTCCACAAAATGTTATTGAATTAATATTTACTAGTTTAATAAGTAATATGAAACTTTTATTTATGGAAAAATTAAAGAAAACTTTCTGATAATTTTATTTCATAAATATATTATATTTGTATATTATATTTTATATATATTATATTTGAAATCCACTTGGTCCCTGGCAACCTGAAGTGGTATTCGAACCTCTAAGCACTGAGGTACTCAGGACCCAACTGGACTGACGAATCCTGTAAGCATTTGTTATTGTTAACAGTTGAAAAAAACATTCTCACAAATATTTCAAACTTTTTCATTAGGTAGGTAGCCAAAATTCATATTATTAAACAGAGGTTAAGCAACGGTTAACCTAGTACGAGGTTTTCCATAGAACCTCAATAAAACCTTCTAGAAGTAAGTACTCTTCCATGAGTAATACTTACTTCTAGAAGGAGGTTTGCTTATTCTCTGAATAATATGAATTAAAAAAAACTTGAACGATTCAAAGACTTAACAATATGCTCATTTGTTTAAATATTTTGGTTTATAAATTTTTCAATGTTTTATTCAGGGTTCGCTTTCAAAACAGAGGTGAAGAGGCATCAGCTGCTGCAAGTCCTGTGGATGATAACACCGAAGAGGAGTAAGTTCATACAGAAAAACTGACCAAGAGTGAATTAAAGTAGCACGCAGGGTTCCGCACACATATTAGTTTTTAAACAACATAGTCTTTGTATAGGTTCTTTTGCAATCTATACACACAGATTATACACTTTTTGAATTTTCATATATTTTCTAATAGGTCGGACTTAAAAAATATTTTTTGGCTCATTGAATTCATTCAACAGTATGAAGGTATCGGTAGCAGGAATTTGTCCGCGCTTGTACTTGCATTTATATAATATTAAGCAACTAGCAGGAATAATGTGTAAAAATAATAAAATTGTTATATAATAAAATAAAACGTCTATCAAAATCGGGTTTTGTGTGGGTTATTAACCATAATTGCATTAACTTACTTGTTAGAATGACATGTTAAAAGTACAATTCCAACAATTTTGTATACGGGTTAAAGTGACAACCTCCTTTTTTTGAAGTCGGTTAATAATTCCATTAGGTCTGGGGTACATGAGTTTGTCAATCCACTGGAGTATGTTCGCGAGGCGGGGATGCAGATCCGCGGCGAGAAACGTCCTATTGTAAGTTTATACATCGTGAATTTTTAATTAACAATTAAAATTACATTATTTTTTATGGAAAAGTAACTTATCCTATAAACGCCTAGAACCTATTGAAATTTTGTTGGAATGCTAGCTATTCAAAAATATATTTTAACGCCATTTATTGCCTAAATGGGTACCTTGCCTGCGCATGAATTTAGGAGTACTTTTAGAATTTATAGATCGCGCAGACGTCGTTTTCTTTCGGCAAATATATGCAAAGATAAGATTTATAGATATACGCTATAGTAAGGGAGCCCACGATGCTAAATCAGGATTCACTCGAACGTCATGGAGACCTACTGAGTTGCGAAGCTTAGATGATAAAAAAAAACTTATGCTCCCCGAGCGGTTATAGATTTTTAATAAGATTTTAAGTGAAATTTAAAAAAGGTCTTATGAAATCTTATAAATTATAAAAATATAAAGGCGGTCAGTATTAGAAAGTGCAAAACCATTCGTCATTTTGAAATGCTCAAGCGCTTCAGATTACGATATATATAGTTCATCTTTGTGCCATAGACGTGCTGTATTATAACTTCGGTTCGCCTAATCTAACAATTACAAAATTTATTTTTAAATATTTGAACTTATTTTATTGAAAGGCTCAGGAAATAGCATGCAAAACAAAAAAAAATGCTTTTTTTTACACGACTGCAAAGGAAGGGTTATGTTTTTCGCGCGTAATCTTTTACATATGTATGTAATATTCTATATGACCTTATATCTTCAGAACCGCTAAACGGATTTACATAATTGAGGTATCGTTAGATTCATCGTAGCAGCCGAAAGGTTTATAGATAGGTAGGTAATATAAAAAAAAGGCGGCTGTGACGCCATTGTACTTAATGATAAATTTTAATTTTACTTTAAATACTACAATATGGATATTAAATCAAAGAGCTCAATAAAAGGTGCATGATTATCTAATAAAAATATGCAAAAAGAAGTTTAAAAATATGGACTTGTTCTTTCACTTTCTAAGCCAACCTGGTGATTTGTCTTAAAAACATAAATAAAATTATAATTAAAAACAAAAACAAAAAACCGCCTGCGTGAAAAACAACTAACTAAAAAAGGCTGGAACAAGAAAAAAATTTTTTTTATTCAAAGTGGAGGCAGAGTGAGACAGTAATAGATAGAGAAAGATACAAAATAAAAATGTCCACGCTGGAAAATGTCGATATGACGACTTTTTTACAACTTTGTTTGGGTTCCCCTACTACTAGCAGCATCGCAATTTTCCTCTTACAGTAGGTTAATCTATAAAGAAAATTCGTTCGAAGACGTTAATTTCTGTTCCTATAGTAGGCCTATCTGTATAATGCATTAATTGGGTTAATTAATTATTGATTTCAAATAACTAATCCATGAAAATAATATGATATCATTTGAAAATTTCATGTTAATAGTCTTTCGAGTAATTAAAAAATCACGGTGTATAGAAAGTTTGGACGGGCGTTGTATATACGATGATTCTTATTAAAAATATTATATATAACCTTGTGATGTTTCTAATGTGCGCGTGCATGCATTATTTCTTTTTATTAAAATCATCTATTTATTCATCAGGGTACCGCTGGCCTGAGTATCAATGTACCGCCTGTGCTGACAGAGGGCACTTCAGACACAGAGTCGGACTTGGACGTAAAGGATACAACCAGAATTGTTTCCGATAAATAATCTGCTTTTTATACATTTTCATAATGTACTAACCTTTTTATTTATGTTTTGTGTGCTTCATAATGTAATAATTATTGATTTGAGTAATTGTGTTTTTTAGTAATGTTACCGTTTTGTGTGCATTGAATTAACCACCTACAGTTTTATAACTGACATGGATTTTTTTTAAATATTGATTGAAATGAATTATTAATCTATACTAATGTAAGTATTGTAATTTTTTTTTCTCTTAAAAATAACAGGTTGATGGAAGAAACTGTCTAGCATTGCTTTCATAAATAAGCAGTTTTAAAAATATATTTTTATGCAGGTTAAATAATTAATTTTCATTTACAATCAAACAATGTCACGCAGTTTCTTAAACAAATATCTATTATTTATTTATAAGTGAATTTAGTTGAAAATTGTTTATTAAATGATAACAATTAAACTTGCTATTATTCCAATTATTGTATTTAATATAGTTACAAATTTTGTTAACTAGAGTTGGGGAATCTTTGATATTGCTGTTATTGATAATGTAATAATTCCATATTTAAGGATCACTTCATTAAAAAGAACTCCTAACATACCTAGATTAAGAATTATAGTGTTAAGAGAATTAATTATGTAACGCATAATTCTGATCACTTAACCTTCTAAATATTTTTTAAGCAATCATAAACAGTCACATATTTTACAAATGTGCCATTAATATTTAAACTATTTGAATCAAATTTTTATACATTGAATGAATATATTAAAAATTGTTACACCACTGTATATGAGATTGATTTTATATGTTGAATAAAAAGAATGTACAAACAAAAATATGCAAGTATTTTGATCTTTAAAACAATTTAGTTTGTAAGGTATCTTTTAATTCTTTTATATTTTTAAATAAATTTGTAATGAGTAAGTTTTCTCTTTTTCATATTAATCCTCGATAAATCACACAAATAAAACTAAAATACATATTACAAGACAAAGCTATTATATTAAAAAATAAAGAATGATTATTTTACTTCCAGAGTTTCTTAATAGACATATTTTTCTCAGAATCTTTTTGCATAACCTTAGCTACTGCCATTTCAAAGTCTTCCTGAGTAACGTGAACCCTTCTCTCACGTAATGCGTACATTCCAGCTTCCGTACATACACCCTTAACTTCAGCACCGGAAGCTCCAGGCATCAATTCTGCAATCTTGCGGAGATTGATTCCTCTAGTCAAGTTCATCTTCCGAGAGTGGATCTTTAGGATGTCTAAGCGAGCTTCTTCATTTGGTGGAGGGAATTCAATCTTCCTATCGATACGACCAGGTCTCAACAATGCAGGATCAAGAATGTCGATTCTGTTAGTTGCCATTATGACTTTAATATTCTTTGTTGCTTCAAAACCATCAAGTTGATTCAACAACTCTAACATAGTTCTTTGAACCTCTGAATCTCCTCCACTGCCCGACTCAATACGAGAGGAACCGATAGAATCAATTTCATCCATAAATATAATAGAGGGAGCATGCTCTCGAGCCATTACAAAGAGTTCTCGTACCATGCGACTACCTTCGCCAATAAATTTTTGAACCAATTCAGAACCAGATACGCGAATAAAGGTGCACTCAGTATGATGAGCGACAGCTCTAGCTAACAATGTTTTCCCTGTGCCAGGAGGGCCATACAGTAATACTCCCTTAGGTTGAGCTATTCCCAAAGCATCAAACAATTCAGGATGCTTAACAGGCAACTCAATTACTTCTTTGATCTCCTTAATCTGCTTATCTAAACCACCTACCATCTCGTATGTAGAGTCAGGAACTTTTTCAACCATCATGAGAGAAACCAATGGATCTACTTTGTTAGGAAGGATCTTGTGCAGTGTATAGCTTTCATTGCGTAGTGCAACGCGGCAATTTGCTGTAACATCATTAATGTCCACATTTTTGTCAAGATCAACCACGAATTTACCTTCTGGATGCACTTTGACGAGAACCTTCTTCTTGTCCATCGGCTTGACTACCTCGCCGACGTAGGAGCCTTGCTCTTGTAGTAGTTGGAGTTCCTCTCGCAACATTCTGACTTTGGCATTCAGTTCATTACGCTGAGCCTGTAGACGTCGAAGATTTTGAGATTTCTCTGCCACAATTAACTGCAATTCTTCTATCTTAGTAATGTAGTAGGGTCTAAAGCCCTCTCCTTTTACGGAGTCCACCTCCATTTTAGAAACTATAGTCATTTTTGAGCTTTTTTTAGGACCTCATCAAAGAAAACTAGTAAGAATAATGGAATTCACTACAACGCGTGAAAATCCTCAATAATCGCAAGTCACAAATTTGACATTAGTAGGGAATCCAGCTAGTATCGACTATGTACCGATTCCAGTACATAGTAAAAAGAATCGTTTAAAAATGGATATATGAGTAATTGATAAAAAAAAAAAACTAATTATTAATGTTTTAAATAGAGTTTATTGAGTATAGGTCGATGATATGAAAAATATGAAACGTAACGAAATTGGTTAACATTTAAATTACGTGTAAAAGTTAATCTAAATATGTATTGCCCAGAGTTGTGGGTTGAGTCTGGCAACAATCCAAATTAAATTCTTTTATTTAGAAAATTAAGTAATGATGAATTTTCATATATGTCGGAGTTAAAAAAATAAATAAACAAATTGAAGACACTAATCACTAAATAAATAAATATTCGTTGCGTTCATTTGTTGAATGAAAATAGTATTCAGTAGCGCCAACAGATGGCGTTAGTGCATATACTCCTGCTGACAGAATGCCCCTCCCCCTGCAGAGCAAGCATAGTTCACTTATACGCCAATAGATGGCGTTAGTGCATATACTCCTGCTCACAGAATGACCCCCCTGTAGAACGAAAACATAGACGTCAAAACAATAAGCCAAAAGTAAAATAGTCAACCCATACCAAATGTGTCAGTCCTTAAACAAATGTAGTAATACTATTCACTTCGCAATCGACTATCGTTATTTAAAAGTTTATAACAATCAGTGTTCGCAAAAATCCGATATTTTATTTTATCGTTATTTGATTTTATCGCATATTTTAAGAGTTATTTAAAATAAATATTATAATATAAAGTTTAATGTGAACTATAAGCATTAAATTAAAAAAAAAATGGAAACAAACCGTTCTCAGTTCTTCTTTATATTACAGGGAGAACCCAAAATTTCTAGTAAGTAAGAGTGCTTCGGGAAGACTTCAGGCCAATTTTGCCATTTTGCCGTCACATTGAGTTGGTTAATTTTCTAACTGAGACTTATCAGCTAGAAAATTCACTATTAAGTAACGCTAACATTTTCATTTAAATTAAATGAATAGTTTATAAACATAGTTCAATCTAATTCCGTTGGTTTATATTCAATAATTAATATCAATTACTTATAGGCTCCATCGACAGTCCCACCCGCCAATCCGCACTGAGCTCGCATGATGTGCACGACCCATTCTCCCTATTGGATTCATATTCATCCATAAGGATGGCCTATTCCCCATGTAGTGGGAACATTAAGAATAAGGATGATGATCATCACCATGACAAAAATAATATTTAAATTATTATATTCTCAGTCATTTTGACTTCATAAAAGAATATTAAATAAACTTCGACAGTTGACCAAGCAATCACCATAATATTAGGGGTGTTATAGGTTGGATAGTCTGGCTGGCACTCATAGCTGCTGAACAAATGAGCAGATTTACATGCGATTTTTTAACTAAAACCTTATTCACTGCAGCAGTTCTCAGCTATATTTTAAGAAAAATTAATTAGCAATTTAAGAGCTACATACAGGAGGCAGTTATTTTTTAAATATTTGCACTTACAGCATAATAGCTTCTTCAATTTGATTATTTTTTAATCAATAGCCCTTTTCGGCAATCTCGTCTTGAGAAGATCCTCAATCGATAGAAATTTTAAAGAATTAAATAAATAGCAAAATTTTAAAAACACAAAATGTATAAAAAAGTATTTCAAATCTCAAAAATATATAATCACAGAACGGTCCCTCCAGTGCAATGACAGGTTTGTTTTTCCGAACTCAATATCGTTTAAAAAAATATTTTTATTTTATTTTTATTATTTTTTTTATGGGTTAGAGGGCAGACGAGCAGACGGATCTCCTGATGGTAAGTGATTACCGTCGCCTATCGACATCTGCAACACATATTTAAACTTATTTCTTTGTACAAAATCGATTTATGAAAATTATTCTTACCACCATATTTTAGGCGTACGCATTCACAAAAACCTTTCCATTGGATGCCTTTTCCATTAATTAGTTTATAATGCTATAAATTGTGAATTAAATAAAATATATTTTAATGATATCCAATAGCGACATTTAATATCAATCAATTATCGACATGCCTTTAAGAAAGAAATAATCATCATGCGGTATCTATTGGAGGTTATCTGTGGTTTTGGTCTAGGTGCTAATAAACAGTATTATTTACTTTTTTTTTCAGGAAACCATTACATCCAAAGTGGTGGGGTGTAAGAGATGATCAGTTAAGTGAAGTATCAGGTATAGACGGTTGTATTTTCTGTCATAGCACTGGATTTATTGGAGGAAACACTACAAAAGAAGGTGCCTTAAGAATGGCTGTAGTTAGCTTAGAAGCTAAAGATCAAAATAAATAAAAAACTTATTACCTATTAAAGTTTTAAATCAATGACTCATGTATAATTTATATTTAAAATATTCCTATTGTCAAAGTCGGAGACCGCTAATCTAGAGTTCATGCATAAAATTATGCAGACACCGGTCGAGCCGGCCCATTCATGCCGAAGCGTGGCTCTCCCACGGTATAAATATGTAATGTGTAATGTGATTTTTTGGTTTAGGATTTATATTTATATATTCTTTTATTATACATTTTATAAGTATAAATATATACTAATTTGCAAATGGTCATTTCTTAAATGTAAAAAAAATATTATGTTGGCGCACACGATTAGTTTGATGTGGATAATTATCGAATGCCAATTGTGGCCTATTTTCATAAACAAGTTTAATAATTACCGATAATTTATAAATCTAATAAAGCGCGCTGTATTCAATTACTTATGTTACAATAAAATCATCTTTTTATAATCGTCTATTTAAAAATAATAATTTCCAGTAATAATTTTGTTGCAATACTATTAATTACTTTATTTTATCAGTGACTTGTAAAAAAAAGGTAAATACTATACTTTTTCGTATAAAGTCCGGTTGAAGCATATCACTATTTAAGAATTGCAAAAACTTGGCAGCACAGTAAATGTACAGACAGATTTTAGTACAGGTCTGATGAAAATGTATATATCATAAATATTTTTGTTTTGATTAAAAATGTAAATATATAGAAATAAGTTAGTTTAAAGGTTTCTTTAGAATAAGCTAGTTTGTAAGTTTTAATGTGTTTTTTTATTGTTTTTATAAATGTAAGTAAATTAATAGATTTTGAAAATATAAATATAAAATAAGATACACCACAAACCCATCCAGTCTCCACTGCTGCTGCTGGGACTTGGGCCTTCTCTATAGAAGGAGTCGAATCAAAACGAATAAGAAGAATGGGTCATAGTGATTCTTCACGCACGGCCCGTGCGGATTTGTTGGTATTAATGAGTGCAGATGCTGCCAGGATCAACGACTGAACGTAAAGTTCTAATTGTGAGATAAATTTATATGTTGTTATCGTTGTACAGATAAATAGTTTGATTTAAAATATTGAAATTATTCTAATAATTTGCAAAAAGAAAAAACGAAGAAAAGGTACAATAAGTTTCAATTGATACAACACATGGTGAAGCTCCGTTAGCATAGTAGCTATGATCGAACATTCGATTAATCGGTTATTCAAACGAGAGAGAGAGAGAATATAGTTTAAATAACCGATTTAAATACAACGCATTAGGTGTCTGTGTGCGGAGGTAGGTGCGTAGATACTGGTTGATCGATGTTATGATAATAGAATCAATCTATTGATCAACATCACAAAATAGGTAAAAAGTATTTCCTAGCATTTCCCAGAAAAAATCGATATTTATTTTAATCGATTGAATGGTGTTATTACACTATTGCATTTCATTCACCAACAAAATACTGAGTCAGCATAGTTGACAGATCACAATATCAATAATAGTGATTTTTATCGCACACACAATACTAGGTATTTTATTTATGTTTTTTTGTTGTGTGGTTAATATTCGTAAGTAGATCTTCTACTTTTCTTCTTTTAGCTTCTGTGTATTAGATATGAAATTTAATTAGTATTTCTAAACTCCACATGACATATTTTGTATAAAAACTATAATCTAGTGCAGCGTGCGTCAGATGTTACTTTAATGAACATTAGGGGTTGCTTTTATATATACCTATACTTTTTTTTACATATTCATTGTTACGACTGCAAATAAGTGAAGAACAATTATATTTGATTTCGTATTGTAATACCTACAATGCTGAACAGAATGAAGCAGCTGATTTTTTTTCGTAAATTCTGTATTGCTCCCATAGTAAAAGTTGTTTAGTATATTCATGCACATGGGTGAATCTTAGTTCGGAATATATTTTTGTCGATTTTATTGAAAAAAAAGAAATGTTGGGGCACAACAATAATTTTTTGCCAAAATCATTTCTGGATGAATGTAGTTGAAATTGATGAAAGAGGCACCATTGTGAGGTTAATAATTTCGAAGATAAATCAAATTTAAAAAAATACACTTTTAAGGATAATGACAACGTGTGGAAGTTAATGATTTAAGGAAGAGGAAAAATGACGACTAATATAAATAATGATTCTATGTTGTTTTTATAATTTTTATGAAATAAAACAATTCGACTAGAAATCAACAAAATAGTTTAATCATAACATCCTAGATTATATAACACTTTTTATAATTTTAGACGCTTTTATTTAAATATTATTAATTTAAAAATTAAATTATTTTAGTCATTATAACTATTTATATAAATATATATATAAATAGTGATTTTATTCGTGATCCAGCTCCATTCAGAGATCAGTGCGCATGCTCAGAGTTGCGCTGAAAATCCTAGCGTATTATCATTTTACAATCATCAGTATGAAAAAACAATCATTAAATATTTGTTTTTCAGAATTTTAATGCTATTATATTGGAAATTAATTTTGTGAACATGTTTCAAGAATGCTATTACATCTGTTTCAATTTTAGTTACGGCTGCTGTGGCACTAATTGTAGTCCTTATTTTTTCAGTAAGCAGTTGTTTTTTCTTAGTTCCATTTTTAAGAGTAATTTCTTTGACTGTTTTTCGCCATTCGTAATATGATATATTATTATCGGAAAGATTTGAATATTCAAGACGATTTAAGGAACAAGTATTACAAGTTCTACTCAAACAGTCTAAATTCCGCAAGTCACAACACAATTTTGATAGTAATGCCTCACAAGTTCTTATATTTACTACGCAAGCCCTATGCAAACTTTGTAATAATAACTCCATGTTAAGATGTCGTGAACAAAGACAAGTATTCCTATTGGTAGGCTTTGGAAAAACAGTCCAAAAGGGTCGTAGTTTACAGAAGGTCGAGTAACTTATTTTAATACCAACTTGAGATATAAATTTTTGATAAAGAATCTTTAGTGGAGCATTCAGATACCGTTTCTGCATCTTTACTTTATTTTTCGTCACAAACTCCTTTTTACCAGCACTTAAATAACTATTACCATCGTTATAAAATTGGTGAACTTTTTCTATGTATGATTTGTGACCTGATAATATTATGCATGAAGATGATAATTTAGTTGCAGTTTGTCTTACTAATTTGGCAAACAATCATTATCCTCATTAACTGTCATTATTAGAAACGGAACAAATCATTATATTCCCTATTTATCATTATACGTAACACACATTTTGAAGCAAATGATATTGGCGAAAATGACGAATCCCAGAAAATTGGCTAAAACCTATTGAAACTAAATAAATTCTGCTTTAAACCACATTGATATGAACAAGTTGTCATTCGATACGTAATAGCAGCAAACAAGTTGATTAACGTGATAATCATCTGCTACATCAGAGCAAAAGTATAATGACTTTTTTCATGACAAATCTGTAAGAACGAAATGTCAACTTACCTCGTCGACAAACACGTCACATCCACTCCGTTCAAAGCTCGCAGCTCGTCTGAGAGAGGTGCGGGGAAAGTATCGCGGGCTTTGATTCAACGTGAATTTGAAAATTAACCGAAAATTTACGAAACCATCCTTGCTGAGTTTAAAGTGGGTTCGTTTTCTATATTAAAATAAAACAAATGTATGTAATTTACGATGATTAGAAAGTTTGAACATTTGAGGACGAATTTGCATATAGAAATAAGATGTTCAGGTTTGGATGATTTTTTTATCAGACATAACATCCACGCGCAGCCACATGGGACAAACGAGATAATGACGTCTGAGGCACATTTTGACTTAAATTTCTAATGGAACTATCTTTAGTATTTTTCTTTAGTGTGTAAATAGTTGTGCTAGTATTTAAAAATATCTAAAAACTTGTTGCTATTATGGTTTGATCAGGAAGAAGTATTGGGATTGGACAGGTTCTATCCTCACTTTTTAAGAATCACCCACATAGTACTATTACACCTTATATATACTCTAAACCTTTACTCCATATTTTACTCTTTAGTAATGTGTCAGTTATTTATGGCCATGGCAAAGATGCCATTGATGACAGAAAAATTAAAAACTATTTATGTATAGGGTCGGCTGCAAAATACACTCCATACTATTTTTAAAATAGCCCATATTCACCTGGGTAATTCAGAATGAATCAAAACACTGCACCAAGAAAAGAAAATGTAAGCATCTAGAGATAATAGTATCAACATGTGCATAATTGCAACAATAGGTGGGCTTGTGCTTTACAGTGCAGTTGCTTTAAAAGTATTTTGGGTACTAAGGATTGGAACATTAGCCCACTGGAGTTATCTAGTTGGTGCCATTGCTTATCCAGATGATGCAAAGCAGAGTTTGATTGTTGGCGGAAGCATTTTTAGTTTCATTTTGATCGGTTCATTGATTCCTTCATTTCTTTTGCCTCGACTTAAACTTCTAGCAACAGCTTTGAGTATACCGCCGCAGATCCATATGTTTTTGTTACTCCAAAGGATTGTAGCCTCTAAACTCGAAAATAAAACTATAACGAAGACCATATACCTGTACAGCGGTGTTACGTTAATGTCTACTCTATGGACCATAGTAAGTCTTTGGAGATGATGGATAGGAATCTGAGATAGGTACTTACATAAAATCACCTAAGACACATTTAAGGTGTCTATAAATAATTGAGTAAAAACTATCTACAAAAAATGCATAAAATAAATATTTGCCATGGATTGCAGTGTTTCCATTTATCACAATAATTCTTTGACGACCTCCATAGCTTATTGGTTTGCACGCCGGTTTCAAGATGATGTTATCTCTGAAGTCCCGAATTCGATTCCCGGTTCGGGTAAATGTAGAAAAATAATATTTCTAAATTGTTTCGGGTCTAGGTACTGTGATCCTTTAGTTGTCTCACGTACTCCATACATAAAGCCTCCTTGGATTTAGTTACTCATCTCGGAATCTGAGCGATTTAAGTGATGTTGTTTGATATTTATATATTATTATATTGCATTACTTACTTATATTCTTGATAAATTTTAAATAACCGATGATGTAAGTAAGTAGATTTCTTGTTGATTTTTTAAAATAAACTGATGAAGTTAACCGAACGATTTCTTTTCCAATGGAGAGACTATGTCGAGTAAAGGAAGGGCGCCATGCGACGTTTCTGCCGCGGTAAAAAAAATCGTAGATGTGGACCTGAGAAAGGAAGAGGGAAGAGAAGGCAGCTGTATGGTGGTTTAATCCCCACAAATTGCTAATGAGCTTGACCGTCATTTTGATGACGTATCGAGGAAGTATTTTAAGAAAGAAAGCGACATCAAGTTTAATTTCGGGAACTGTTTTTTAAATACATCCTTATGAGGAAGTATTAAAAAAAAAACATTAGTTCCCGAAACTGTCGCTACGGTACGTTCTTGATTTATCCATAACAACTCTTCCGGTTTTCTTTCATGTTTAAAAAATCAAGAACGTACCGTGCCGACATCTAGTTAGATTTCGGAAACTAATGTTTTTTTTAATACTACCTCATCGGTTTCATTTAATCGTTATAATTAAGTTTTGTTATTGCTTATTATGGTTGACTAAATCAGCAATTGCGATTATGATTTTCACGACAAGTAAGGGGCCATTCATTTATTACCGAAGACGATTTAGGGGGGGAGGGGGGTTAACAATGTCTTAGTTTTTCTTACAAGGGGTGGGACGGAGTCTCGATAGTTCTTACGTAAGATCAGTAAATGGGGCTGATGTGGAATGGGTGGACGTCAACGACGTCATTATCCTGAATGACCAACTAGAAGCGACACCTTTTATTAGAGATGTTCCAGTGGCAGATACATTTTCCGAGTGAGTTTTGAGTACCTGGACTGAAAATTTTATGAAGGATTTATGAAACTAAAGTTTTTTTTTAAACTACCAATACCAATACCTTTGTTTTTGACTAAAAAAGAGATATGCACCTTCAACACGAGATTCCGGACAGACTGTTACTACCAAACTGCAGAACTGAAATATGCAAAAGAAACTCAAATGCTATGTGCGTAAAAATATTTAATAACTTACCTTAAAATTTTAAGAAATTGCCGCTATCGACATTTAAGCATGAACTGCACCAATGGCTACAGCAAAAGTGTTTTTATTGAATCAATGAATATTTAGACAAGAGACATAAAATTTGGCATTTTAATTAATTATAATAAATGATAAATATGAGTATCTCCTATTCACAATATTGACATTACTATATTATGAATCAATTAAACAAATGACATAAAGATTTAAATGAATTAATTATAATAAATAATAAGATGCTATATCCGTAAATTTATTATTAACATTATTAATTGTATTAAGATTGTAGGTGTGATTCTCATTGCTTATTTTAATGATATTTGATGGACTTGCTAATTGTGACATATTATGTTTGTATGAATTTATTTAATAATTATCATTTTTAATATTATTTAAAAAAAATGCATGCCAAAAAATGTCCATTATTTTGCTATTATTTTACTAATATCTTTATTGTTAACCGCATTTCTAGCAAATAAATTACTCATTCATTCTAAATAAATGAAAATTATTAGTACCTTTGTAAGTACAGAAAAAGATTTCTAAAAATTATAACTTTGAAAAATAAACATTAAAACAACCCAAAACCAGTATTGTTTTTTCTATCAGATTCTTACGTAATAAATATTAAACAGGGGGGGAGGGGGTTGGCCTTTTCTTATTTTTTCTTATAATAGCGGGGGAGAGGTCAAAAATTAGCGAAAATAGTCTTACGTAATAAATGAATGGCCCCTATACATAATTTCACTAATCATAAATATATTTAATATCTCTCACTTTGTTATTACTTTTGGTTACGTTACTAAAAATGTTATTTTTTCATTTTTTTAAATTCCTTATATTTCAATATTTGTACATAAATTGATTCTTTTCCAAAAATTCATACAATTATATCAAACAAAATTTATTAAATTATTATAACAAAATTTTGGCGATTATTCATAAATATTTCAATAATTAATCTCTTGCCCTTTGTGTTACCTATACTCTTTCGCCAGCGGCTTTGCCCGCGTGGACCCTAGGGAAATGTTTAGTGGAATAAAAAGTATCCTATTATCTAAGTCAGCTAATACCCTATCTGTGTACCAAATTTCATCAAAATCCGTTCATTAATTTCGGCGTGAAACATCCAAACAAAGAAACTTTCACATTTATAATATTAATAGGATAACGTCATGCGGCTGTATTAAACAAGGATCCAGTCAAAGAGTAGTATTATATAAATGTAGTAGTATTATAATTCATTAGCAATTTACAGGACTTATATGTCTATCTATATTTACTTGTGGTCACATCCCAGTACATATTTATAAAAATTGACTAATATTAACGTATGAATATATCTATAGTTTGAGATTTATGTTTCCGAAAACTGCTATAAAACTAACTTAGGAAAAATGTTCTTTGGACAAGTCTTTACGCAACGCATGTTAAATATGACAGTCGCAGTGACGGCCTGTTTGACGCAAGTTGTGTCTCGTGACCATTGCGTTTCTGTTCGGAAATTAACCAAAAAGTTAATACGAGTTTGACATTGACATTTTTGACAGGTAATCTTATTATTATTGTGTAGTTTCGTGAAAATATTGATTGATTTCTGTTATTTTTAGCTGTCTAGTTTTGAATGCTTATCTGTTTATTCTTTAGCTTAAGTAAACTGATAGTACCTGTGATTATGTGTTATAAAACGTTATTTTTCTCTACCCTTTTGTGAATAGCGCCTTTTTTTAAATACTAGTTAATGTTGTGTCAAAAGGTAAAGTATTTGTTTATTATTTAATAATTAAACTATTAGATGATATGATAATATTACTAGTAGTAAAGTTGCTCTTTATATTTTTTTCCCTAAACACATTGTGAAAAATGATAAAAACTGTTGCAAATGGTTATGTTTACTTGAGGTCATATAAGCTATTGACATATCATGGTCAAGGTAAGAAGAGCTACTTATCATTCATCACTGTTCATAGAACTTATAAGCTTTTGTACTAACCATACACAGTAATTAAATGTTATACTAAAAAATTAAATCTCACCTGAAATATTTTCCAAAGAATGGATTGTAAATAGTGTTTTTTGAATGTACCTAAATAAGTAAATATTAGACGACATCACATACATTGCTCTGACCATACTTTAAGTAACTTCTTAAAGATCTTGTTTTGAGGAGATCAATCATTCAAAATGGCAAGAAAGTAAGTTGGTCTTTCCCCTGGTCTGCCAAATCCTAGATTAATACTAATCAATGTGAACAGATTATTCAGTGCTTTAGTTACGCAGTAGAGCTACTTTAAACGCAAATTAAAAGTTAATTTTAAGTCATTGATGGATGGCAAAGCATTATTTTAGTTTAAAGAACAACAAATTGGCCCATCTTTTTTGTAAGTGTAGCCATAAAATTGTAGTTTTATATTGTTATTTCCAGAATGGGAAATACTAGTAAAAAGTTAGCAGCGAAATGCACATTGCTAACGAAAGAGGAGCAAAAGTATGTTGCTGCAACATTCCGGGCGGCCAGCAAGAATTCGGAGAGGATACGTGAGGACGATCTGATAGTGAGTGGAAAAGTAGATGCTGTGTCATTAGAAGTGCGTTCATTTTCATTTTTTTTTCATTTGTTTCTATTGGTTTATTTGGTTGGTGACATGATTTTGTTTTTCTTTTTTTATTACCTTCAAGTAATTGTTAATAAACAAGTTGTAGACAGAACCACACCAAGTTTTTGTTATTGAAATATAGAAAACCATTATTTTGCTTCAATTGTGTAAAGTAAAAGAATATAAATTATTAAGTGAATGTTTGTACGGGTCTTTCAATATTTATGTAAAAATTTTCATGTCAACAATCAAAAGTTTGTTTATGTATTCTTTTAGTGATAGTCTAATTTTTATATTTATTACGTTGTGTTTTTGTCCCCTTATGATTTTTCTATTCTGTGTGAAATTTCACATTATATCTTTTGACTATCCTCAGTTGTCCAGAGACTCCTTGTCAATTTGAATCTGTTAGGTTTGAATAGTTAAAATAGGTTGTGATAATTTTACAGTTTGTGCTGTTAATATTACATATAGCATCACATTCTGGAATCAATTTGGAACTGAATTGTCAACTGATAAAGACACAATACTTTGAGTGTTGGTCGTGGTAACAACATGTTACCAGGCTCACTTTGTCGATGAATGCGCACGCTCATTGAAGACACTCAATTGTATCCCTCTTAGTATCTTGACATGCTGTTGTTTGTTGCCACTGTTTGAGTAAAAATTAAATTGTGCTAGTGAAATAAATCATTTGTGCCAGTACCAAGTTGCCTGCTTAATAGAGACATTATGTATCATATATTTGTATTATTATTTCAGCAATTTATTTTTTATGTTTGTAGTAGAAATATTGAGATTTTTTTAGAATATATCAGTTTAATATATAAATGTGGGAGTATTACATCATGCAATAAATTTTTTTTTTTATTCATAGTCTTGAGTTTTCAATGATTTTATTGAGGATTATATTTATCTTTACATAATAATGATAAAAAGTCGCTTCCCGCTGTCTGTACGCTGACAGATCTTTTAAACTACCAGGCACGATTCGATTCCATAATTTGTCGCTATCTGGACATCTCTTTTCTTATAAAAAGATGTGACTAACGTTCTTCATTCACAATCTGTTGAAAATCAATAACATAACGTTAATATAACTTCACGGTAGTATTTTACGACATCATTCACGATATTGATAAAAAAGTAGATTGACACGTTGCCATTCAGTCATCTCGAGGAAAAGAGTAATTTGTCATCTGTTATATTCGCTTCCCACTGCTTGTACGTTGAGATCTTTTGAACTACACAACAGACCCTAATGCGGTTTACAGGTTACAAGAAGATTTATTATATGTATAAAACAGGACTACGCTGGCGAAGCCGCTGGCGTAAAGCTAGTTGATAAATAACTAAAGAAATTATTATACAACAACAAATTTCGCTCGTTTGGTAGAACCAGAGATGTATTTTCAGCAGGGCCCGATCCAGTTATTTAGCTGAAAGTCCCGGTGGCCCTCATTTAGCATATCTGGCTCTTAATTAGCGACATTAGTCGTTTTTAGTCGCTCTGGCCCTTATGGATCCGCTCAAATATAAATATTCGCCGCTTTTTATAACAACCGCCCTCTCCATATAGGTAATGTGCTTGTTATATTGTATTATTATTAGTGTTAAGTCTACGGTTTATAAAAAGTAAACCTTATATTTTTTCTATTTAGAGTGTTCAGTTCTCTATCCGACTTATTTATTTTAATGAATTAAAGGAAAAAGGTAAACCATTCTGTTTTCCGGATTCAAATATGGATTTCATAAATGAAACATCTTTTAATGAAACGGTTTTATAGCGTTTGTATTTTTATTTTATTTACTTTTCGGACCCTTTACAGGTTCCGTGTACACATAAGACTAAGGTGATCAGCATTACCGCCAATTTGAACACGGAACTTGTAAAGGGTCCGAAACATCAATAAACTAAATACAAACGCGATGAAAACGTTTCGAAGTTGTTCCATTTATTATATTTGAATACAATAGTCACTTAAATACAACCTTTTTTATTAAATATTATAATTTAACTAATAATAATACATATATATTTTGTTTTTGTAAAAATCGAAAATTATGAATATTATAAAAATAAAGTTTCTAACTTTGTTGGTTTGTTTTTACCCATCTTCGGAAATACTGATCTGATTATGAAATTTCTTTCAGCTATATGAAGCTATATTCATGTACGACCGACTTGATTATATTTTTATGCGGGAAAACAGCTATTATTATAAAATGTAAAATACGTAATGATGATAATGAAGCAAAAACTCGGTCGTACATCCATAGTGACAAATATCTCCAAAAAAAAAAAACAAAAATCCATTAATATTTTTGATATCTTTCTTTAAAGTTTATTAGATGCCTAATCAATCATCCTCAACAGTCAGAATAATCACTTTACTTCTTATAACATTATGGTCCTGAGAAGGTTAATAATCTTCTCTTGTCGAAGTAACTTTATTTACTCATCATTAGTTTTTGAGAAAAATAAATATGTTTTTAACACTTTTCTAAGTCAGAGGTTTCCAAAGTTGATTGGGGCCCGACCAATTGACAAAAGTCCAATCACGAGCACTACCTAGCTGTTAAGTAATTACATAAGAAAACCTCATAACTTAAGCAACTATTTTTAACAAATAGACAAATTCCTTTCATACTTCATTCAAGTTAGAAGCTAATGATAATATTATTCTATCCATTAATAATAGGGATAAAGACTAATTTTGTTTTGAAGAATGTAAAACAGGTTTCTTTTATTTTTTGCGTAATCGATAAATTACGGCGCTACATTAAGTTAAAATGTCGTATAACGTCACGCTTTTGTACATTTTCTACAAAGCTGTCGTATCGAGCCACCGCTCAATTTTGATGCCGGTATCTAAGTAATTTGTTCAATTAAAACATAAAAAACCGGCTAAGTGCGAGTCGGACTCGCGCACGAAGAGTTCCTTATAAAACGAGAAAAAAAATCCATTTGTTATATTAGAGCCGCCTTAAATATTTGTTTTATTTAATTTGTAGTGTTTGTTATAATAGAAATACATTATCTGTAAAAATTTCAACTGTCTAACTTCACGGTTCATGAGATAAAGTCTGGTGACAGACAGGCAGCGAAGTATTAGTAACAGAGTTCCCGTTTTAAAATTTAGCTACGGAAATCTAAAAATCGTTTCTAAATAATTTCTATTATGTGACTGATGCACTATACTCCATTCATTATAACATTAGAAAAAAGAGGGTCATAGAAGCAGCAGTGCAGAACATTTTATTTTCAAGATAAATTTAAAAAATGTATATTATAGTTTTGTTGATACTTTGAACGTTAGGTAGTCTGAAAGAGCTGGGCAATTTTACATTTTTTACGATACCTCGGGGTTAAGATGAGGCCAGCATTTTCTTAATTCATCTTTTACTCTCAAGCCAACATGGAACTATAACTATCTATCTGTTGTTTTCATAAATTATAATTGTAAAATGTATATAATTAGAATAGAAATTAGTTATATCTTTGCCCAGAAAAGAATGGTAAATAAAAATAAATTGTTATTATTACTTTTATAACATTTATTCAGACATTAGTTAGACTATTGATGAAGACATTGGAAAACTTCCTGAAATGTCAAAGGCTGAGGGCAGGTATGGGGGCTTAGAGCGTAATTGTTGTAGGTCACTCGGCCCTGCACCGACATCGTCCATATTTAACAAAACTTAACAACAAAACAAAAATAAAACAATAACAACTTAATCACGGAAAACGGCAAAACAACAAGAAAAGCAGTAGCATTCACAATGGACGACAATCCCAGATTACGTATTTTAACAATTATGAATACATCATAGTCTGACAAAATTAAAAAACTGTACTGCCGAAACGTTCGAAGGGATTACAAAACATTTTAAATTTGGTAGAGTTATAGTGACATGAGAATCGTGCCGAAACTATCCAACCCTGCTTCTTTAGGTTTTTTAAGATGCACACTTTTTATTGTAATAGTTATTTAATCATTTAAGTTAGTCAAATACTCATAAATTTGTTTAATAGATAGCTTAAATGACAACAGTTAAGTATAGCAGCTGGTATTTAAGTGGATATGTAGCAAATTAGCCATTAGTCTTAAGAGTAACATGATTATTGATATTTTGTCCCAAAGTATACCATAAAAGAACCTTATTTAATTTCTGTCTAATGCTATAATGAATGGAGTATAAATACTTAGAATTTCTTTATTTTTACCCAGGCATCAATCCTATTCTTACTTTATTGATATTTTTGTTTATTTGGTAAAAATATCTCTTTAAATTATGACATATTCTCAAGTAATTAGGTACTTCTCTCGTACTAGTTAGTTCATCCAGTACGCGTAGTACAAAAAAAAAGTACAAAAAAGTGCCAAATCCATTAGGGACTACTCAACCACCTTTCGTTCACTTACTTTATCACAATTAGTTAATTTAATAATGGTCTGTGGTAAGGCTCAAAATGATTATGATTAAATGATTGTTTATAAAAAATCATTCCTTAATAACGTATTAAAATTGTTTAACGTGTTGTTTTTGGTAAATCCGTGTAGAAAGATAGAATTGGTAATTCAAAATTGTTTGGTTGAATGAATGTATTTAAATCGTGTAATGGTCTCCTACGTGAAATTGGCAGTATTTTGGTGACGCAAAGTGCCATCAAAGTTAAGAAGAAGAAGAATGTATTACCATATTTTGATAAATATTATTCTATGTATTTCTTTGATATTTGAAGGCGGCAATACCGCTTCCATTCAAGGTATACTTAAAAATAAGATTTCATATCTCATTTCCAATCGTTTCATTATTATAGATAAGATATTATTAGTACATGATATAGATTAAACAATTATCATATCTCTTATAATATAATTCGTAATAATTAGGTTATTAAGATGGGTACTATGGTCGTAGATTTACAGTATCTTTGGATTTGGCCTTGGTACTATGATGAAAAGTACTTAGTACTTGACAAAAGC